AACAATGACAACTGCAACAGAAAAATAGCCCAGCTTTGTTGCAGGCGCCTGTACTCCCTGCTACTTGGGAGGCTGAGGCAAGAGAATCACTTAAGCCCGAGAGTTTGATGTTGCTGTGAGCTGCGATGCCCGACACTCTACTGAGGGCAACCTGGTGAGACTCTGTCTCAAAATAAATAAATAAATACTAAAACGTGTATGGACTCATGGTTTCCTCTTTTATTTTATGGTCATGACCCATTACTATTATTTTTGTCTGTTGCTATCATCACTACATCTGATTTGGACAGTAGGAGCCCCTTTGGTCTGGCGATGCACCCTTTCTACGTGTCCTGTCCTTTAGCTCTTGTTCTATAGGCTTTTTCCCTGCCCCAGCCATTTCTCCCAAGAAACACTGGTTCTTTTCAGAGAATGGAGATTAGAAACCAACATCAGGGTTCTTGGTGTGCTCAGTGCTGTTGGGGTGTTCCTCCTCTCAAGGGCCTCTCAGAGGACAGAGGTAAGGATGTAAGTATATTTTTGCACAAACACACAGTTATATCAGTAGTTTTGTTTATTATTGACATGTGTGAGATCTCACAGGTATCAGCAATTTCAACCCAGCACCACAGGGTTCGTTTTCCCCTTACCATATTTTAATTCCCATCTCTGACAGCAAGAAATCTGACTCTTATAACTGGAACATATTTCCTTTTTTTTTTTTTTTTTGAGACAGAGTTTCATTGTGTCACCTTCAGTAGAGTGCCACACTGTCACAGCTCACAGCAACCTCAAACTCTTGGGCTCAAGCAATTCTCTTGCCTCAGCCTCCCAAGTAGCTGGGATTACAGGCATCCACCACAGTGCCTGGCTACTTTGTTTGTTTGTTTGTTTGTTTTGATTTTAGAGAAAGAGTCTCACTTTATTGCCCTTGGTAGAGTGCTACGGTGTCACAGCTCACAGCAACCTCCAACTCCTGGGTTCAGATGATTCTCTTGTCTCAGCCTCTGGAGCAGCTGGGACCACAGGTGCCCGCCACAGTGCCTGGCTATTTTTTTGTTGCAGTTTGGCTGGGACTTGGTTTGAACCCGCCACCCTCAGTATATGGGGCCAGCACCCTACTCAGCCACAGCCGCCAGCACCACAGGTGCCCGCCACAAGGCCCGGCTATTTTTTGTTGCAGTTGTCATTGTTGGTTAGCTGGCCTGAGCCAGGTTTGAACCCACCAACTTTGGTGTACGTGGCTGGGGCTGTAACCACTGTGCTATAGGCGCCGAGCCACATTTCCTTATTTGGTTGGTCCTGATCTCCCTGCTCCAGTGGACATCCCTTGCCCCTTTGGGCTCTGATTGCTCAGGGCTGCCCCCAGGGAGGCCTCTATACCCTGTGCTCTAACTGAGGACTCTGCTCCAGGGAGAAGGGAGGAGGCTTTGCAATTGCGCTCCCAGTACCATGTCTTGGGCTACATGAGATTGCCTCCCAAATAAACTGCTTGCACTCAAATCTTTGTCTCAAGCCTGTGTTTGGTGCAGCCCAAACCAAGACAAAATTCTTTTCTAAATTTTTACAAGCTTATGTTACTTGAGTAATTTTTTTTTTTTTTACAGTAACTTAGCACTTTCCTGATAATGGCAGTTTGTGCCTGGCTACCACAAGGCTTTTCCTTCTGCTTCCCAAAGAGGAGGGCGGGGTAAAGCAAAGCTGGTCTGCAGCCGGAAGCTGTCTGTCTGGCCAGTACTGTCCCTTACAGTGCATTGTCAACTCAAACAGGGACAGAGGGGCACAGGGTAGAACTGGTCTTGGCGCCTGCCAAGTGGTAGGTAGTGCTTATTCAATGAGGGGTGAAGGCATGACCAGCTGCCCAAGCCCATGTGGCAAGTCTCAGGGAGCAAGTTGGGAGGCCTGGTGCAGGGGAGCCCTGCCCCTGTCTGCATACTGGGGCTTCTCCAGACAGGTGGCAAGGCCAGTACACCCCACCATCTACCTACTGGCATGGTGGTCCAAGATGGTGACTGGCCAGAGCAGCTGCTGGGAGGGGCTGGGAGGAGGAAGCCAGGTGGGAGTCCCTCTCTGGGCTCCAGGAGAAAACAGGGTCTTGAGGGCTCCATCTAGGCATGGCCACCTGACCCTTGGTGGGGTGGTGGGTGGGCTGCTCCAGAAACTCCAACATCTTGTGGGTAGGGGACAGGCTTTGGAGTCCACTGAAGGTGGAGGCAACTTCAGAGGGCACTTTGAGACCTCTCCCTGCTTCTTGGGACCTTCATCCCTCACCTGATTCCCCCATACCCCTTCTATTCCCTGACCTTTGCCCTATGCCTGCACATGGCTGTTTCTCTGGGACTCAGCAGCTTGGGAGAAGCATCGGCTCCTGGCCTGAGCCCAGCAGAGCATCTGAGCAGGCCCTACCCATCCTGAGCCAGTGTTCTGGGCCTGCCCAGGGCTCCTGCTCCGCTCAAGCAGGGGGAGGAATTCCTTGCCTGACTGGAGATGCTTCCCAGGAGGCCCTGGGCTGGGCTCTGTGGTACCTTCTTTGGATCACGATTTGCCTGAGTTTTACAGAATTCAAATCCAGATGGAAGGAAGTGACTCCCGCAAGTGCAACATTACTATTTTTTTTGGTCCAAAATGTGGGCCAACAAAACCATCTCTGGGAAAACAAATAAGATGTCCCTTTTCTTTGTTTTTTACATATCCTTTTTAAGGAAACATCTTTGTACGCAGTTTTCTTAAGTATGAGCATCCAGAGAAGCTGTGTGTTGGGGCCTCAGATTTCTGGAAAGAGTGGAAGGGACACTGGGCAATGATGACAAGGACAATGCCCCCACCCCATGGCAGCATAGGAAGAAGTCATGGAGCCCTGCACCCTGAATTCGAGCCCTTCCCTAGGGTCACCTGGCCCTGAGAGGTGACCAGGGCCTGCACAGGTGCCCAACAGTGCCCAGAGCAAAAGTTGTGCCCAGAAGTGCCGGTTTGGCATTGTTCCACTCCACTGAGGAAGGTGGGAACAGGTCACAGCTGACAGTCACCTAGGCTGAAGTGGGCATGGCCCTCTCAGCAGGCCAGTCTGGGAAAAGGCTCCTGCCCAGTTTGGCTGGACTATCCTTCCACCTCTGGTTGAGCATGGCTAGGGCTGTCCCTGGTTTCAAGTGCCTGCTCCCAGGCCTCTGGGTAATGCTGCCTCTTCTGGGGACTACCTGGCTAGATTGTCCTGCTGTGGGGCCCTTCCTGGTTTGTCTCTCTTCCACAACACAGCCAGTGCGTGGAGAGACAAATGGAGTTATGACCCTGGCCCTGATGGATGTGTAAGCGGTCCCCTGGCCCTGCAGGCTGCAGGGTGGGGGTCATGCAGACAGTAGCCCAAGACACTCCGTCTTCCTGCCACAGGGCATCCATCTCAGGCGGAAAGCCCCCACCCCATAGAGCGAGGAGGGCCCCAGGCTGGCCAGGGGCAGGTGTGGCTGCTGGCTGTGGTGGGTGCAGCCTGCCAATTATGCCCAGGGCTGGGGGGACTGTGTCTCTCTGGCACCTCCAGGTCATGCTGATTGTATCTGTCTCGAGAGTGGGGTCCCTGCATGTTGCAATCCTAACGTGCACAGCAACCTCATAAGGGTTGTGGGGCTTCCCCCTTGTATGTAGGATCCCAGGTTCCCCTGACGTCTCAGTGTGCGGTGTGCTGGGTGGCTTCCTTGAGCTGCGTCGTCTTGCTGGGAAGACTTAGGGAGCAAGGCTAGGCCTCCCTGTCGCGCAGACCCGCCCCCGAGCTGGTCTGCGGTTGTGGCAGAGCCCTGTGGGTTTCTGGGCCCCGGCGGCGGCGGGACGGGCGCCTGCCCAGCCGCGCAGTAAACTGCCTTGCCGGAAGGGGGGGCCTGGCCGCGTCCGCGGGCGCTACCGCCGCGGCGGAACGTCCTTCGGGCGGGAGGGGCGAACGGGGCCGAGCGGGGCCGAGCGGGGCCGAGTCGCGGATGGGCGGGGCCGACCGTGCCCGAGTCCCAGCCGAGCGAAGCCGAGCGCGGCCGAGTCCGGGAGGGGAGCGCGCTTTCCTGGAAGAGCGCGGCGAGGAGCGGGTCACATTCTTGGCCGGCGCTCCGGCTGAGGCGGACGCACGGCAACAAACAGCGCGGGGG